TATGGTCATCGATGGCAATGTGTCGGACCTTTCCGTGAAAGTAAGTCGTGTCGTACTGTTTCTCAGCGCATAAATTGTACACTTTATACGAGTCTAAGCCGTGATTCTTGTCCAGAAAAGCCGCCACGTCTTTGATATTATTGCGATAGAAAGCCATTCTTCCTGTCAATCGATGGATCAATAGATTTAGACCACATTCTTAAGACATATTATGCACTTTCATGGCTTACCACTGGATGGGAAAGACATGGCAATGATCTGTTCGGTCACATAAGTCAGATCCAAGTCGAAGAGCGAAGTCCGCATTCGGCGCTTATTCTCCGAGACCTTCTGTCGGACACCTCTTCGCACGTTTCGGGGCTCAGTATAGAAGATACGGATCAACATAACCAACCGGATTAGACGCACCACTCGACCAAACAGTACAAGTCTAAGACAATTAGGGATTAAAGCAATTGATTAAATAATGTTTATGGTTAACATAGATGTAAAACATGTAATACCGGGTATAACCACTTAATTCAACGAAACAATAGATTGCGGTCACGAAATAACTGACAAAAATGACCGCAAAGTCCAATGTGTCCAACATATCAGTGAAGAATATATGGGTTCTGTTAATGAGATAAACATTTCATTAAAAAATTTGATAAATATTTAGGAAATACAGTAAATGATTTCAGATGACCTATTGTACATTATATAAAAATAGTTCACTATATAAATATACAGGATATGCTTTGAATTCACATATTTTCAGTAAATTAGATTAAAATCAATGAATTTTTCTAAAATAAAAAATTAGTTACAAAATAAACTTTGTTGGGAAAAAAATCTGATATGAATTGTCGTGAAATACTAAAATTATTTGAAATAAAATTTCACTAAAACTAAATACAGTATTTTAAATTTCCAAATATTTATACCAATAAAATTGGTCACAAATTAATGATCATTAATAGACATACGTTTTGGCGTATATTCTGAGCGACACTTCAATCACGAAATAAGTGCCAAAAGCCATCGACAGTGAGTTAAAGATAATAGTTTCGGTGGCGGACTCGTCGACACAGAGATCGACGGCCAGAAGCATTAGATCCACAATAATGATGACCAGACCGAAGAGTCGGAAGTATAGATTCTCCACAATTCGCCGCACTTTTTCCCGCCGATGGACGTAAAAGCCGTGCGATTCGTAACCGTTTGCGTTGCGCTTCGACTCTTCGTCGTCGCCGCCACCGATCCCTTCCTCCTCCTGTCGGCTGATCTCTATCGTCGGTTCGGCTGTAGTTGTGGTCAACGAGTATTTGTTTTGCGGCACAGATTTGGGCGGCGATTGATTGTTGTTAACACTCGCTGTCAAAGACTTTTTGCCATTAGTGGTGACGACAGCGCCGACGGTTACGCCGGCCGTCGACGACATCCTATTATCGTTGAGAGTGTCGTCACTAAACCTCTCATACTTTTGAGACATTATTTTTTGGTTGATTTTTTCGGACGATTACAGCGAGAAATTAGTGGTTAAGTAGAAAATAAGAGTGTATTAGAAATTAAGTAGAAAAAAGTTGTTTAGATGTCAACTAATAATTTCAGTTAACATTTGTACATATTTTGCATAAATTAAGCGATAGTTTACTATTAAAAGTTGCAAAATTAAGAAAAGCCAATAAATTATTTATTAATAGATGTTAAGTATAGATGTTTTGTAAAAATATTAAATAATTAATTTTCAATACTATTAATGGGTTAACACAGAGGAGAGAGTGCCTCAAAACCTGCGAGTTATAAGAGGGATAAGTGAGTGAATGAGTGGTTAATCAGCATTTGGTGGAAGTTTTTCGCTGTTTTTTGTAATATATTTGTAGGAAAAAACGCCTCCAAATAAATTGTATGTAATTTTTATGTGTGATTTTCAATACAAATTCATGGATACAGAAAATTCATTGTCCAGTCGTTTTGAGTGGAGTTTTTTTTGGTTGTTTATGAGTCTCTCTCACACTCGCAATCGCACAGCACTTGTTATCCACTGATGTTATAAATATCTGGGATTTGAATTACGGGTTGAAAATGAAAACCATATTTCGCCAGAATATACATCAAAAAAACAGTATAAAGTGTATGACATGAGGGGCTGGTATGCGATGGGAAACACACATCACATTGAGTACAATACTAACGATGTGGAAGGGCTGCCATTTGGCTGCACATTAGGTACAACTCATACCTTCTCGTAATCTCCTTTTGGGAACCACAACACGAATACATAAGTCATATGACATTAAAAACAACTCTCACTTCAAAAAATTGTAACCAAACTTTTAATATTACAAATGAGTGAAGAAGAGAGAGAGTGAGAGAGAGAGAGAGTGAGTGATAGAAAACTTGATTTCTATGGCTTCGGAAGAGAGGGAAGGAGAGTAAGGGAGAGGGAAAGAGTGTGTTTGAGAGAGAGAGAGAGAGAGAGAGAGAATTAGTGTGTCTAATCTCATGAGTATGTGTTTCTTTGGTTGCCAACGATTCCAGTATTACATATCTTCTGGACTGGAAATTCTCTGACGCAATGAAATGGTAGGACATTGTGAATACCTTTGGGTGCTCTCAGACTCACTGTATTTACCCGAGAGCCTCATTAGAGTGTTGCCAAACTTCACTATTGGGTTTAAACAACTGATGAGAACATATTCACTACAATACATTCACACAACAACCATATATAGCACTAATATCCTACTACTAAATTGCTCTCTCTCTCTCTCTCCCTCCCTTTCACTCTCACTCACTCCCTCTTCCTATGGTTTCTTTTATGAGTTGACCATTCGGTTCATTCAGTATCTGTAAAACTCAATTCATTATAATGAGTATAACTTAAGTTTTTTGAACAACAATTATTTGATACACAGTATGTATTAGAAAAAACTTTAACAATACAAAAATATTCAGAATCAGAGGAAACGTGATAACAAAATATTGAAAAATTCAAATTTTAATTCAATGGCTTCTTAATTAACGGTAGATATGATTCCCACGCATTGGTTAAACACTAGGAATGTAATGTTTAGTTATATTTCTTTTTATAACTTCTGTTTTTTCTGGTTATTGTGACAGAAAAAAGAGCGAAAAAATTGAGAAATGGTTTTATCATTTGCAACGATATGATGATCTGAGAGAGAGANTTGAGTTTTACAGATACTGAATGAACCGAATGGTCAACTCATAAAAGAAACCATAGGAAGAGGGAGTGAGTGAGAGTGAAAGGGAGGGAGAGAGAGAGAGAGAGAGAGAGAGAGAAGTGAATAGACAATTCTCTATGAAAGGCAAGTCATCGTCGCCTACCATATAATTTAGGGTCAGTTCTTGAGCAGTGGTATCAGTGGTTCACTACTTATAAGGATCAGTCATGCATGAGGTGTGCATTGCATGTGTTCTCCTTCATTGATCGGAGCCATCATTGACTACATTCAAGAGAATTACAATCACTGACTGAAATACTAACAAAAATCAAAGTAGTCTTCGCTAATACCAAAGGCAACAGTCTTTCTCTTCTTTTGGTTCACTTTTTTTTAATAACAATTCCATTCAAAAAGGCTATCATTTTTGTAACTCCTTCTGATTGTAAAGCCATAGCAATCGGTATTACAATTATTCGCACTTCGATTACAAGCAGTGCTATTATATTCAATACAATACGAGTCCATAACCGAAATCAAACTCTCCATTCACTTCCTGTCAAATTATTTTTTCGCCAAAAAATCAATTTTTTCTTGCATTTTAAATATGAGCGCCGAGTCTTCACCCGGAACTCAATAACTCAACACTCATTTCAAATACGATTCTCGTATTTAATCATAAATAGTGTATCTCTTTCTCTCTATCTATGAATTATTTGTTATCAAATATAATAATAATGAATGAGAAGACCATTGATTCTGATGTCATGCATGCTTGAGATGTGTTGAGCACTACTACATAGCGTTTTCTTAATCATCGCATCCCTTCCCTGTCCGATGTCTTTATATGTTTTGGTGTAAGTTAAACGATAATAACTCCTGAATCATTGAATAACTATAGGGATAGTAGTACGTTTTGAATCACGGTTACTGGTCAAACTATAAGAACTATAGAGATGAACCTAATGTATAATTTGTAAAGGGATAATAGATGTATAATATAAAAAAAGAATTTTTAAAATCAGATTTGTAATTTGGTATTTACAGTTGGAGAAAGATAAGTATATTTCAATAATTTCCTATAGGATTCAAAAGTTATTATCGTTTAATTTACACCAAAACATATGGTTTTTAGTGAGAATTAATTGCTTCAATTGTCCCCCTTTTTTGTTTACTCTTGTATTAAAATGTTTTAACTTTAACCCCATTTAAAAGCGACAACTCTTCGTATAATGTGTTTAATTACTATTACTTTTTGTTGTTATTTGTTTCGTATTATTCAAGCCGTTTGTATTGAATACAACGACCAAATACTACAACATTTGGTCGGATAGTGTCGGTGTTTGCCATGTATTGCGTGCACACCATATGGACTGACAATCAAAAAAGACACGACACCAGAGTTTGGGCTCAAATTAACAACAATAGTGGCTGTAATCGTAACACAACTGCTCTCTTCTTCTCTGCAACAGGTCTTTAAACTTTGTTGGCATTAAAAAGAAGTCCTTTTTTGTTGGGCTCAACGGTTGGGTTTTGTCTTAGTGTCATCTCATGACATGCATTGACACGCCATCCCATCGCACGCATACAATCGCCTCCTCAACAATTTTGTCCCCAAATCATTCTCTCTCTCTCTCTCTCTCTCTCTCTCTCTCTAATCGCAAAAATGATTTCCCATTTGATTCTGTGTTTTATTTGTCTGCAATTGTTTGTTATATCTCTCTCTCTCTCTCTCTCTCTCTCTCTCTCTCTCAACTTCAATATCATTCGTATTATAGATGAGATGTGAAGTGAAGTCATAACTCGATTTAGACTAAAATCAAAACTAAATTATATTTTTTTTCCTAAGAGATGATCATAATTAGCGCAAAAGAGTTCGTTGGCTGTAAGAGATGAGAGAGAGAGAGAGAGAGAGAGAGAGAGAGAGAGGCTGATGTGAGGACTGGTTGGAGATAGAGATAGGGAATCATAAACTTTAATAATAGCAATGCATTTGTAATGGGAGCTAAAGAAGGGCGATATCAGTGTTGCGAATCTCTTATAATCGCCGGAAACCAATATTTTTGATAAGTGTGTGCTTCAGAAAAGGCACTGATTGTTGGCACAGGTAGTGGCGAGAGGACAGTCGCTGCACCCAATCGCTCAACTGATACCAAAAGCAATTGCATCGCTGCCATCACTAGCCCTGAGCCACGGCCTACTATTTGGTGCTCTCTTTAAGTCTAAACACATTTTTATGGCATTTTTGGCATTTGTTTGAGAGCCTTAAGTGTTGTCTCTCTTTCTTTTTACTTGTTTTTGGGGCTATTTTTTAGATTTTGCAGATTTTGTGCAAAAGAGTATTCAATACAACGAATTGAATGGTTTGTGAAACGAAGCAAAAATAATTGTCCGCAAAAACTAAAACTCAAATCTATTTCTCGATTCACTGTTTGGTTGGACTTCACTATTCATGAGCTATTCATGTGATTCGTGGCATTCATTATCATTATTCACAGCAATGACAGTCCATTTGATGATTCCTCTCATTCCTAGGTTTCTCCTCATTTCGCTTTATCCATGCAATCACTGGAAGTGTTTCGGCGATGGCTTTGTTATCATTATTAGTTTGGGAACCGTTTGACTATTTGACTGTCTGTTTGTAAATTGAGTCGACTGTGAGTCGAGAATATAAACAATCGCTGATCTGACCCTTTGATGTAGTCTTGACGGGTGGTCACTGACATCACTGACATCATACAGATATACTGGTATTGCATTCGTGTGTTGTATATACAGCTGATCGCATGAATCGCATCCCAATTCACTGACACCAGAGCTTCACTTCATAGCAATTCCCTGTCCTGTGTTGGCCCGACCGATGTGTGCACTGGGGGTCAGCCCTCAGATGCACACAAAAACCATACGATGCATGGCTTCAGGCCTTTCATTATTATTCTGGATTTAATTAAATTGGATTTGTGCCCAAAAGCGGGCCATTCATTGCTGACTTTCATCGCAAATAATGGCATTGAATGGCATCCAAATGTGATAGTGTTCTTAGGATAGGACAGTACGGTATGGGATGGTATGGGGGATGGGGTTGGTTGATGTCCAGGTGTTGTTACATGTATTGTTGTTCTCTGTATTTTGACTTTTGTATGGTTTTTGGCGAACGAGTGGTAACTCTATTCTGTGCTCTTCTGGATGTGTTGGTGGTGTGTATGTAAAGCGCATCCAAAGCCAGTGCCATTCGCACCACACCCACAATTCAATGTCAATCACAGTTGACTTGAAGCCACAGATTGAGATATTTAGTCGAGTGGAGAGCTCTGCCAAACAAATGTTTCACAGAGTGGGAGAGGCATGAGTGCGGGGGTCAGACAGTTAGCACTGGCACTCTCCACATACACACCAACGACAATGAGTACGGCCTGTGGTAGGACTGCGCCAATTGTTTGGGCTCTGGTTGAGGCCATTGCGAGCCATTAGACGTTACTATAAATACAGTAATATTGTTCAGTTGGTTGTATGCGATAACTAATGATTTATCAAAGAGTTTTCAATCGACTCTCGCGATAGGTTTAGAGGCAATGAGTGAAAGACTGGCGATATTCCAATGTTAAGGGTCACTACCGGTTCACCACTTTGATGGTCTGTTAGTTCCTGTGCCTTCACTGCCTTCACTGCCTTCACTGCCCGGTTTGCAGTGTCTCTCCTGTCTCTCCTCCCAACCCATACGCTGATACCCCACCACCACCTCCTTCTCTATCTCTCTCATTCAATCTCTCTATAGAGATAGCACTGACCCAACTGTGCTATAATACCAACGCTAAGCCATAATTCAGCACAACTTGAGTTGTGGCTGAGGGTTGGGCTATATCTGAGTCCCGCTAACATCTAATAGAGTGAGTCTTTACGCTATCTTCTCAAACAAGTCCAACGCATAGTCAAGTGTGGATATGTCTCGTGTGCCTCAACTCAAGTAGTTTTCTTTCTTACTATTACTTGCATTCAGTTTTATTACATCTCTTCTGAAACACTCAAAACCAAAATTGAGTTTTTGGAAAGTTTTAAAACTTTTTATCGAACTTTTTTTGAATGAATTTTACTCGAGATTTGCCTAAAGAATACTTAATTTGTATAGAAATTATGACTCTTTGACAATTAGTTTCAATTAAAACAATTGAAATATTTTTAAAAAAAATTATTTACAATTGTTGTTGTTATTAAACCAAGTGTTGTGTACAATGAAGTCTCAATTATTGAAACCTCAAAGTTTGTTCATATCTTATACCAAATAATATTATTTAAATGTTATTCTGTTATTAAATTAGTTATTTTAAACTGTGTTTTTGTGTTTCATATGATTAGAGATGACCACTCCGTGCAGTCCCAGCGAAACGACGGCGTCCAGTGAGACGACCTCCTCGTCCAGTGTCGACGATCTACAGATATCGTACACCATTGGTGTGACTGAAGGCACGCCATATCCGTGCAATTTCTGTGATAAAGCATTCCCGAGACTATCGTACCTCAAACGCCACGAACAGGTAAGCAATGCTTTTTGATTCATAAATGCTATTAAACATATCGTGCAAACAATGGCAAATATTCAACGTTAAGATTCATTGAAAATGTTTGCCCATAACGGCTAATGAGTAGAGATTGTCTTTTTCATTCATACATTTGCATTTGTGAGTCCCATTGTCTATGTGTATCACTCATTGTCTACCAGTGCCTCTCTTTACTGACCAGTACTATAAGACAGAGCATATGCCTCACCTTAACTCTATACTCATGGGATACTGTGACCCATCTGTCCCCACCCGTAGTGACAGTGTCTCCCGAGTGATAGCTGTTAAGCCATATAACTTAACTATACTTTACTTTTATCTGTATTAGGGTTTGTGCCCTTAGTTATGCATAGCTCGCACCCCAACCCCTCACCAAATGCATTGGCGATGGGTTGGAGAGAAAAAGATGTCTTTATTAAGCTGGTGGTGGCGGTCCACCTGTCCCGCTCCCAGGCATATCACTATAAAGAGAGAGAGAGAGAGAGAGAGAGAGAGAGAGAGGGCCCTAACTTTATGAACATAACTTTAGTGAACCCCGGGTTGTATGCATTCATATATGTATAGCGTATACATATAATTCTCTGCCAATTGTTGGGCACCGAGAGCTTCACCCAATGCGAAATGTTTGAACGCCTGTTGTCCTTGGGTTGGGAACAGTGGTCATCAATACATGAAACACAGGTATAGCTGTTTGGAGATTAAGAAATCAACAAAAGAGAAGCGCCTAATGAACTTGAAAGTGAAGGGGAGAGCGGGAGACACGACCACAATATCTCTATACTTATGGCTCTGTTGTGTTGTTCAGTGCTATTGACTGAACCAGAATTGAGGAGAAGAAACGAGAGGCACAACTGAGGAGAACGGAGAGAGCATTCGCTGATAGCGTAGAGGAATGGGGGGAAACACTGTTGTGGAAGACCACCCAAATCACCTGCAATTATACCTGAGGCAGGCCGGGGTGCCTCTACCACCGCCACCCGCCGTGTTTCCGATTAAAGCCCAGTAAATATAGGGCAGAGGGAGAGAGGGAGAGGAGAGAGAAGAGAAAATTACTAGAATTGAACGCAACGTCAATGTCTCAATACAAGTCAATATGTAGTGTGCAGTGCAGTGCCGGTGCACAGAGTGCACAGCCGGTGCTCTCTTCCCAGCGCTGTGTCTTAATTATCTGCTGCCAAAACTTTGAAAACTAAATTTTAGACATCTCTCAGAGATCTCTCTATTACTGCTCACAAAATGCATTTCACTCAACGCTAACACACTATCGCTTAATAGACGCGTAATATTTATGCACAAAAAGCAGAGCCTCTCTAACAAAGTCTGAGGCTTTTTGAGGCACCGGAATGTTATCCACTCTAATAGTCTTCTTCTTCTTCTTCTCACATACCATAACACATAACAAAGTGCTGTGTATTCAGTGCCACAACTCTCTCTAATAACTTTATTTACAGCTAAACACAAACAGTGATTCCGTGTTTGATCTCATAGTTTGTGCTTTATTTTCAGATACATTCAGACCAAATGCCCTTTCGGTGCGATTATTGTCAGCGACTCTTCAAACATAAGCGAAGTCGTGACCGACACGTCAAACTACATACAGGTAGTTGTCTTTCACTATCACATCCACTACTGTATGCATACCATAGATATACACAATCATTAACAAAGACCAGGCATTCACTCAATTAAACTTTTTAATGACTTAATTGAGTGAATGTTTTAAAGCAAAAACTCAATGAAATGACAAATATATATGAGATTGAAATAAATATTATAATAGAAATATTGATAAAAACGTGTTTAAAATTTATAATTTGAATTCAAAAAAGATGACTAAATCTTGTGCACAAATCTTTCTCTCGCCGTGTCCTGAATGGTGAACCGATAGGTGATAAGAGGTATCGTTGCTGTCACTGCGAGTCAGCCTTTTCACGCAGCGATCACTTGAAGATTCACATGAAAACTCACGACCAGATGAAGCCCTTCCAGTGCGCCATTTGTAACCGCGGGTATAATACCGCTGCAGGTAAACCAAATGCCATCACTTATGGCCCATAACTATATATCTTTCTCACTCTTTCCAAAACATAAAGCCATGAAATATATAGGGAATAAAAATTCCGACCAAAAAATATTTTGTTGCTTTCATATAATCTCTTTGCATGAGTTCTTCATTTCGCTTACAAACAACCAGACAGTCATTGCTTTTTTCATTGCAGCCAAAAGGGCACGCATTTCGAGCGCAAACACTAATAAAATGAATATTTAGCGAAACAAAAAATCAAAACGAAAAATTTATTTTGCATTTGAATTATTAATATATTATAGAAAAATATTCAGCTCTTCTTCTATCGTGTAAAATATACACTCAGTTTGCAGTGAATAGTGAAACAAAAAAGTAAAATAAAATGAATGGCAATTGTATGTAATAATAACTTATTTCATCTTCTCTTACGTGTAAATACATTATATCTTATTCCTTATCTCATTCCCTCTCTAACTCTCTCCCTGTCCTGTCTCTCCCGCACAGCCCTAACCAGTCATATGCAAAACCACAAGAGAAATAATACCATCGGCGGCGGCAATAATAACACCAATACTTCTGCACACAATATCAATATCAATGGCAACAATGGAATCGTTAACAATAATAGTGACAATAAAAATATTAAAAACATGTCTTTAAGTACAACAAACTCATTGAGACACGAACTCCGCGGCGAAACTACCGGTCCTAATAAGGTATTGCAAAAAAGTCTTACAAATAATATTTTTGTTGCTTTTAGTTTTTATTAATCAGATTCTTGTATACGATTTTCTCTCATATATTTATTTTGGTTAATGTAATGTATCAGTGATTACATTATGTGACTTTTTATATATACAACAGATAGATATCTAAAGCATTAAATTTCAAAAATCATTTTTTTGCTGAAATAATTTTATTGACAAGAATTTATTGATTGGCAAATATGTTATCGAAATTTATTCAGTTATGCGATCAGTCATATCGATAGAGAGACAGACAAAAAATGAAATTCTTTTGACAAATAGCAGTATTTACTGATAATTTGTTTATTTATAATCCAAATGTAAATAAGATATCACCGGATCTGATGAACAGAAGCGGTTCCCAATTGAGTCCCAATAATATCAATGAATCGCATTCGGAGTCAACACAAACACAATTGACGTGCGGTTTCTGTGGAGTCAAATGTGCATCACTTGAGACACATATCAGACAAACACATTTACATCACTTGCTATTCGCGGGTCTCCTCCAGAACTCCTTCTGTCAGAGCGCAGCCATTCCTAACTGGCAGTCACTGATGCCTCCGCCGCCACCCATTCCCGCTCTCACACCCGTCACAGACTTAATGCAATTACACTCCAGTCTTCCCAACGGTTCCACATCTCCTCCATCGCCCAAAAAGGCCAAAGTAAGCAAATCACCGGTGATTGTGGCGCCGACAACACCGACACCACCCCAACCCTCGCAACTGCCGCTTCTGTGCAATCAATGCTCTCCTTCGCCGGCTTTTCACGACTTTGAGTCGTTTCGCGTTCACCTCAAGTCCCATCTCATAGCCGCCCAACAGCAGCACCTGAACCACCCGTTGGCCGTCCATTCGACTCAATGTCCGCATTGCGGCCAAACAATCACATCCGACTTCGAGACTCATCTCTTGAACTGTCATATGGGAACCGTTACCACCAATTATGGCTGTGAGTGCTGTACAAAAATGTTCAGCAAACCGGATGAGCTTCAGAAACACTTAATGGACATTCACGCACACCATCTCTACCAGTGCTCTCTGTGTCGTGATATGTTTGACAGCAAAGTCTCAATACAAGTGCACTTCGCTGTCAAACACAGCAACGAATGCAAAATATTTAAGTGTAATATTTGTGGCGAATTCTGGAACAATGAGCACGACTTCAAACTTCATGTGAAAATAGTTCACTTCCAGTCCAACCATCACTTGTCTCCACCACAGCCACAACTCGCCGCTGCCTTTCCCCTCTTCGGCGCCAAAGCCTACTATCGGTGCAAATACTGTGCAGAAGAGTTCAACATCGAGTACCTATTGGAGCGACACATAGAGATAGAGCACTCGCATCACCAAAAGTTGTCCTCCAAAGCCAATTGCATGGATCGCATGGATCTGTCTCTCAGTGTTAACCAAATGAGTGGAAAAATGCAAAAACAGATCAAATGTGAGTTTTGTTCAAAAAATTCATTCAAAAGTATTGTTGAATTGGAATCCCATATAAAAAGCGAACATAAATCTCATATTAATAGTATAAGTAATACTAATATCAATGGTTTGATTAATAATACCAATAATGGTCTGAATAGTAATAGTAATAAGTGTAGCAATAAGTGTAATATTTGCGATGAATTGTTTCAATCGATGGGCCAATTGGCGGAACATAAGCTGAAAAAGCACTGTATATTCGGTGCCTCGCAAAGCCTGCAATGCCTTCAATGTCACGCTAAGATCAATACCAAAGATGATTATATGAAACACTTTGTTGAACACAATAACATCAATAAGTCGACCGATTCTTCGTCGCTGAACGCATTGTTTCCAGTCGTTTGTGTTATTTGTAAGCAAACACTGATGAGTGAACTGGAGATTGATTTGCATGCGAGCTATCATTGCGACCAACACTCCAATCATTCAAACCATTTGAATGACAGCACAAATGATATGCATTCCCAGAATAGCCATACCAGAGATGCCACGAGTCCTGTTGTCACTGAGTCTAAACTCAATTCAATTAAGACTGAATCCCAAACACTGGCCATTAGTCCCGAGAAAAGCATTATTGCGCCCAAATTGGAGAACAATAGCATAGAATCGGCGGACGATTTAACGGTTACTAATAAGAGATATCAATGCATTAAATGCCAGGAATCATTCAGAAGCGAGGCTGAGATTAAAGATCACGTTCACCAGCATATGTTGAACGAGGGCTCCATTGAGTGCAAGCTCTGCGACAAGGAGTTTGACAGTCCGGCCAAACTTCAGTCCCATTTAATTGAACATAACTTTAATGGTGGCGATGAGTATAAGTGCCACTTATGTAAGTCTATATTTAATGGCTCGCAATCACTTCAGGCACACATGTTTGATGAACACCTAAATGATCGGCCATTTTCTTGCGGCCAGTGTTCACTCAAGTTCTGGTTTCCCACAGAATTGGATAATCACTCAATGGCTGAGCATCAGGAGAGCGATGAAGACATCGATTGCGACAACTGCTCAGAGGTATCCAACGACGATATCATCAGCGCTTCAGAAGACAGGTTTAAGTGCATAGAGTGTGACAAAGAATTCCCATTGGAATCGCATCTTAAGCTACATCTCAAGTCATCTCATCATCAGTTGGCGACACATTTGGATAATCAAACCATTAATGAGAAGCGTTTTTCGTGTAATATTTGTGGCAAAAAGTTTGCGCGAAAAGAGGCCCGAAAATTACATTACAAATCACATCATTGACTAAAACCATTACCACTAAAACTCATCTAAAGTTAGCGTCAAATCAACACAAAATGCTTGTATTGAGACAATTCCTAAACATTTTCGCTAAAAACATTAAACATTCAGTATTTGCTACAAATTTTCATCACTTGTTCTCCATTTTCACATTATGTTTATAAATATTTGTATTAATATTTTAAAGTTTAGATT